CAGTTTCTGGATGTAGGCGTGGGGGGGGCTCTTCACCTGGAACCGCTCCTGGAGGGGACGAGGGGGGGCGTTGGTGACACTGGGACAGCAGCACAGCTCACCCAGACCCCCCCCCAGGATGCCTGGGACCCTTCAGCCCTCACCTGGTCACAGATGAGGTCCCACTTCTTCTCGTTGTCGTACTGGCGCAGGAGCCGGGCTTTGTCCGGGGGCAGGTTCATGGAGCTCTGGGGGCAGAGCGGAGGTGTCACCCTGGGGACACGGGGACACTGTGCCCCCCGGGGGCACCCAGACCCAAAAAGCACCCACAACGCAGCCAGGGTCCCCCTTAAGGGCACTCAGGCCCATGGCACAGCCAGGGTCACCGGCACCGGTGGGCACAGATGTGGCACAGGGACAGCAGTGCCAGCAGTGCCAACAGGGCCACGTGCCAGCTTGCGGGCAGCACCAAATCTCCCCATCCCCGACGTGTCCTTCCTGTCTGCACCCGCTTCCGCGCGGCAACCGCAGCCTCCGCTCCCGACCGCGGCGAGGTCGGGCACCGGTGCCGGCTCGCCAGGACACTGGGCACGAGACTTGGCACCGGTGACAGCTCACCAGGACACCGGGCACGAGACCTGACCTCGGTCCCAGTTCACTGAGGCACTGGGCACAAGGCCAGGCACCGGTGCTGGCTCACCAGGACGCCGGGAAGCCCCACGGGGGACCCCAGGACCTCACAGTGCGGGATGTGGCACAGGGGACACAAAGGGAGCGTCCCAGGGGGCACCGGGGATGCGGGATGGCCGCGGGATTGGGGCAGTGTCACCCCCGCGGGAGATGCCGTCACAGCACACGATGCCATCCCGGTGGGCGATGCCACCCCCGTGAGTGATGTCACCCCGGTGACGCAGGTCCGGGCAGCCCCGTTATCGGGAGCCGGTCACTGCCACCGCTCCACCCGCCCCTTGGCAGCTAAAATTATCCCTCCCCTGCTCATCCCGATCCCACAAAGCCGCAGGAAACCGGGATACAGACACTGGGCGAGACCGAACACCCCCGGGCAGGGGTCCCGCGGGCCCACGGGGACGTCACCGCCAGCACGGGGGCCCCCCAAAACTGCCCCCAAAAGGGGCACCGTTCCCTCCCCACAGGTCTCCGTTTATTCCCCCCGGACCACAGGCGAAATCCCAGGGCCCTCCCGGAGACGGAGGCGGAAG